CGAGTATTACGAAGTAACATGGCAGAGGGAAGTCAATATTAGAGGAAATACTGTAAACGGCAGACGACAGTTTTCGTTTGGTCAGACGAGATTTCTTTTCCTGATAGTAAACTATAAAAAGGGATAGGGTTTACGCCACTTATCCAGGAAACATTTCCGAATGTGTCAAGATACATTTCGAGAGAGAGACATCAACTGGTGCAATAGTTTGTCTTTCTTCTGATGGTCCGAAATCGCCCATTCCAAAACGAGTGAAAATGAATAGCAGAAAATATTGGAGAGAGATGTATTGCTCTAGTTTTCAGTCACATTTGGAAGTCGTTATGTTTTCACTCAAGACAGAGATCCTGCATATACATCCAAATTCATGCAGAACCGGTGCAAATGGCATCGCCTGGATTTTTTGACAAATCAATTTGACCTGAAATTAACGCTATGGACTTTGCGATATGAGAAGACTGTAAGCAATTACATTGAGTGTAAACATTAGCTTAACATTATGACATCACTGGTTTACTTAAGTTCTCTGTAATTCTGTTTGGCTATGTCATTGCTGGCGAACGTTACATTTTGGTAAATTCTGTCTTATAACGGTTTTTTTTTAAACGGGCGTCTTTGATAACTCTCTATGACAAAAGGTAACGGCTGAATTACGTTGAAAGACCGATTCCCGTATGTAGTTCAACAACATTGAGGCAGATCAGTACGTAGATGGGTGACCGCCTGGGAATATCAGGTGTTGTGAATTTGGATGTGCGGGTGATGGAATTGATAACGGATCAAAATAAGAAATTTAAAAATTGGAGAGCCGAAATCCAATTCCTTTCTGGATCGTTATATTGACTTAGGCGAAAAATACACTTGAGAAATGGATGAATCGACCTCTAATCCCTCCAGCTATGGGTTAATTCTTCGTACTTATAACCTTTAAAATTTTGACAAACCGTAGATATAAAATCAATCACTCAGTCAATCTTTCTGGAGGCGTTTCCGGTGACTGACGACAGTGCGTGACATGGTGGCCACTGGGCCATAAGACGCTCCAACTTGACAACTGGCTTTGAAAAATTTTCTCCAAACACCTGATGAATGCTGCACACGTAAATAAATAGAGTTTTCGGCCAAATTTCTTGACACAACCATAATTCAGTCTTGCTTCTTAATTCCGATCATCTGATCCATAGGAGAATGGTTTTCTCCCATTTGGGATGTGCCAATTCCAGCAGCCTCGCACTTTTAGAAATTTTACAATTCATTGCACTCACGCGTACCGCGCCTCAGTTTGTCATGCAGATTTGATGATTTTCAAGGTTTGGCCCTGCTATCCGGTAGCAAAAATACATATCATTGTTAACATTTTCCAAAATTCAAATCATGGTTATCGATTTCCAAATTCAAATCATTGTTACCATTTTCCAAAATTCAAATCATGGTTACCGTTTTTCATAATTCAAATCATGGTTACTGTCTTCCAAAATTTAAATCATGGTTAACATTTTCCAAAATTCAAATCATGGTTATCGATTTCCAAATTTAAATCATGGTTACCGTTTTCCAAAATTTAAATTATTGTTACCATTTTCCAAAATTCAAATCATCGTAACCATTTTCCAAAATTTTTATCATTGTTACTATTTTCCAAAATTTAAATCATGGTTACCGTTTTCCAAAATTTAAATCATGGTTACCGTTTTCCAAAATTTAAATCATTGTTACCATTTTCCAAAATTTAAATCATGGTTACCGTTTTCCAAAATTTAAATCATTGTTACCATTTTCCAAAATTTAAATCCTTGTTACCGTTTTCCAAAATTTAAATCATGCTTATCTTTTTCCAAAATTCAAATCTTGGTTAAAATTTTTCAAAATTCAAATCATGGATACCTTTTTCCAAAATTCAAATATTTGTTACTATTTTTCAAAATTCAAATCATGGTTACCATTTTCCAAAATTCCTTGGACACATAATGACGAAGGTCTTGAACAACTTCACCCTAGTGGGAAATATTGAGGGCAAGAAAGATAGAAGACAGCAAGCCAGTTACCTGACCAGTTTGGCGAATGGATAGCAGAACGGGGGCGAGAGACTTAGCAATGGGAGAAAAATTCCTAAGAGACGCACGAGTTGTGGAGAGCCATGATCGCCAGTATTCTGACGCGGTACACAGGAGAAGTTCATGTGTGAATTTAAATCGCCAAAGAAGTTACATCTTTCAAATAGTCTTTATATATTAATCTTTATCGTTTAAGGCCCGTGCAAATGACAGGTGTTTACTGACAGTATGTATAGCTAGCCACTCGTATTCAAGGATACCCTATTGTAGACGCTCAGGTGCCTTTTGTGTTTATTCAACATCCACAGAGCCCACCTGTGGTTTATACTGCAACTGAGTAGACTTTAGTTATAGTTTCTGGAAAAGAGCGTGCTATCTCGTGTGATCAACAATTTTAACAAGGCCCACACGCTCAAGCCCTCGGTCACAATGACTTCGTGCTAGCGTGTAACATACACTTTTTGAGTAAGTTCACGTTTTCTTTTCAACTAACAGTTGCGTCTCTGTCTTTGGGTAGAGTGCGCGCAGGGGCTTATCCGTCAAAGAACAGAGGAGCAACTGGGAAAATTATACTGAAGAGGTGCCCAGCCCAACACCGAGGCCAGTGCAACCGACGGTTTCGGGAGCTGAGGGGAATTTTTGTGCCTGTCCCGGGCGTACGTGCTCGGGTCCCTACCTAAAAATAGACCTTGTGTCACATCTCGTCCTAGGGGTGGGGGGCGGAGTAAATACCTCATGCTAGTACAGCTATCGACGCTTCCAAGGGTTCTGTCTACCCAATTTCACTAACAAACATTGGGTCAACATGTGGCATTTCAGGCACTTTCCAAAGGTACCGCACGCTTGGATCAACCCTTCCACTTCGATAACATCAGG